AAAAAAAAAAAAGTCTCAACTTTTTCATCCTGCCTTAGTTTTTCAGGTGACCAGCCCTTCTTCTGAAGGTGCCTTGGGGATGTCTACCAGTTATCTTTATTATCATACAGAAGGACACTTTGTACTTTGGTCATTCCAGGGATTTTAGGAGTTGCATGCCATGACCTGGGGACCAAAATACTGTGTATATATTTCACAGTCACACTAAAGATTGTTTTAGCTTATTCCACTACTGTTTCTTAGGAACAGAATGTATTTTCAGTTCTTTAAAGTTGTTCCTAAATCAAAAGAATTGTCAGTCATTTAACCCTGACCTTCTTCTTTTTCCTCTTTTTTGTTTTATTTGCCGAAGCCATAGATAAGAGCACTTTCGGCGGTGCCTGTGGCTCTAAAGGGTAGAGCACGGGTCCCATATGCTGGAGGTGTCGGGTTCAAACCCAGCCCCAGCCAAAAACTTAAAAAAAGATCTTTTTTTAAATTTTCTTTAAATATTTATTTATTTATTTCCATTGAAACAGAGTCTCACTTTGTGGCCTTTGGTAGAGTGCTGTGGTCATATCTCACAGCAACCTCCAACTCTTGGGCTTAAGCAATTCTTGCCCTCAGCCTCCCAAGTAGCTGGGACTCCAAGCACCTGCCACAATGCCCGGCTTTTTTTTGTTTTTGTAGAGACAGGGTCTCACTCTGGCTCAGGCTGGTCTTGAACCTCTGAGCTCAGGGCAGTCCACCCGCCTCGGCCTCCCAGAGTGCTAAGATTATAGGCATGAGCCACCACGCTCCACCAAGAGCATTTTCTTGAGAGCAGTGGTTTTATAATTTTCTGACTTTGACTTATATTAAAAAAATACATTTACATAGTTGATCTAATGCATTTGTTTAGAGACAAAGTTTTATGAAATGATCCTTTATCATCTACTGTCTGATTTTCCTTTTATCTTTTACCACATTTAAAAAATCCTGGTCAGCCAATATAAGATAGAGTTAAAAAAAAATGGTTAAGAAGGTCATTAGATAGGAGGTAAATTGGTAATTTGAAACAAACATGTCTTCCCTGTGGTGATGACCTGAAACACATTTTGGTTTTGATTGAATGCTAAGATTTCATTGATACCATCCAAGCCTTTCTACCTATACAATGCTTGTGTATTTTATTGATCCCTTTTAGTCAATAGAAATAGCAAGGAGTTTAGCATATCAAAGAGTGAAATGAGTGAGAAGAATAATAGGAAGCAAAATCAGAAAGGTAGGGGAGTCAAATCATGTAGATATCCGTTATATGGTGTATGTTTGGTTTTTTGGGGGGTCTTTTAGGTTTTTGAGGACTTTGGCTTTTTACTCTATAATACGGGAAATCATTACAGAGTTTGAAAAGAAGAGAGATAAGATGTAGGCCTATATTTTTAACAAGATGGATTCTGGATGCTGTGTGGAGAATAGATGGTAGAAAAGTAAGGGCAAAACAATGGAGAGAGGGAAGAACTTTTCCTTCAACCTCTTCCTTTGTATACCTGGGGACCTGTGAACTAAAGAGGCAAGACAGATTAGCAACAGTTTATTTATGCATGCAAGGCACAAGTGTGCAGGAGTGCTCAGTGATGAGTAAGTCAAGAGGGCTGGTTAGAATTTGGGGCTTATATTCCTAACTTAGTAGGAGAAAGGCTTCTATGGAATGAACAGATGGATTTCTTTAGGAAGCAAAAGTGGGTTGTATGAGAACAGGAGATAGCAAACTCTGTGATAATGCTTGTTTACCTAGTTAGGAGAGAACTTTCCAGCTTCTTCATGGCAGTCTCCCCTACCCAGGCAATTTGTGGCAGTCTCATTTGTCAAAAGAGGCTGCTTTTAGTCAGATAAGGGAACCTCTGGGAAGGCTTTTTCCCCTGCATCTGTTGAATCTCAGATGTCTTCAGCTTAAAATAATCTTCCAACTCGTGTTCTGAATGGGTTCCTGCAGCACTGAGATAGGAACTATTACATTTAATCCAGGTGAGAGATAATAGTAGTGACTTGGACCAAAGTGATAGATAGGTAAAGATGCTATGAAAGTGGTCAGATACTGGATATATTTTGAGAATAGAGATGATTTGTTGACAAATTGAGTGAGGATTTTGGAAAAAGGCAAGGCGTCTAGGATGACTCCAGGTTTGGGGCCTGAGCAACAGGAAGTAACCTTTACTGAAATAAGGAAGTGAGGACACATAGTAGGACAGGTTTGTTGCATAGATATTACTGAACACCTTTTGTGTAAAGGTGCAAAAAATATAACTCTGTAAAGTTGGTGTCCTCTTCAAGATTTTTTTTTAGAGACAGTTTTATTTTGTTGCCCTCGGTAGAGTGCTGTGGCATCATAGCTCACAGCAACCTCTAGCTCTTGGGCTTAGGCAGTTCTCTTGCCTCAGCCTTCCAAGTAGCTGGGACTACAGGCGCCCACCACAACACCCAGCTATTTTTTGTGGCAGTTTGGCTGAGGCTGGGTTCGAACCCGCCACCCTCAGTATATGGGGCCTGGCGCCCTACTCACTAAGCCATAGCCGCCACTCCTCTTCAAGATATTTTTAAGACAATTACAGCTAAGTAAGCATTAACTATATTAGTTTACTGGGGCTGCATAACAGAGCACCACAAAGGGGTGGCTTAAACAGCAATTTATTCTCTCAATTCTGGAGGCTAGAATTCCAAGGTGAAAGTGTCAGCAGAGTTGGTTTTTTCTAAGGGTAGTGGGGAGGCCACTCATGGTGGTTCACCTGTAATCCTAGCACTCTAGGAGGCCAAGGAGGGTGGATTGCCTGAGCTCATGGAGTTCGAGACCAGCCTGAGCCATCGTGAGACCTCGACTCTAAAAACTAGCCAGATGTTGTGGCAGGCGCCTGTAGTCCCAGCTACTTGGGAGTCTGAGACAAGAGGATCATTTGAGACCAAGAGCTTGAGGTTGCTGTGAGCTGTGACACCACAGCACTCTACCCAGGAGAGGAGGGATAGGGAGGGCAACAAAGTGAGATTCTGGCTCAAAAAAGGGGGGCGGGGGCAGGGGTAATGCCTGTGACTCAGTGAGTAGAGTGCCGGCCCCATATACCAAGGGTGGCGGACCTGGCCCTGGCCAAACTGCAACAAAAAATAGCCGGGTGTTGTGGTGGGCACCTGTAGTCTCAGCTACTGGGAGGCTGAGGCAAGAGAATCACCTAAGCCCAAGAGCTGGAGGTTGCTGTGAGCTGTGATGCAACAGCACTCTACTGAGGGCAACAAAGTGAGACTTTGTCTCTAAAAAAGAAAAAAAGGATGAGGGAGAATCTGTTCCATGTCTCTCCCTTAGTTTTTGGTGGTTTGCTTACCATCTTTGACATTCCTTAGCTTGTAGCTCTCTTCTTTATCTTCACAAGGCATTTTCCCTGCATTGCAAGTCTATGTCCAAATTTCCCCTCTTTTTAGTGATCTGGTTTCCAAGTAAAGTTATGAGGTACTGGGGATTTGGGCTTAAACATATGACATTTTGGGGGGACACAATTCAACCCATAACAAATAGTAGGCAGTTACTATGTAATTATTTGATTTGGTCAGAAAAAAATAGCTAAAGAGAGATAGGATTGTGAGAATGCAGATGAAATAAACCTGAAAAAAAAAAAAAGAAATAAACCTGAAGACCATTAGGGTTGTTTTGGTCATTTGGCCCACATTGTAGCTAAGAATTGGAAACTGAAACTAGCTGGTCAATTTCCCATTGCTTTTGCAATTGGAAATAATAATGGTTACCATGACATAGAACCCCACAATGTCAGGAACTATACTAGGTGCTTTATATTTCTGACATCTTCTCATTCTTCACACAGTAACCCTTTTTGGGTAGATAGTATTATGCTCATTTTTACACGTAAGAAAACTTTTAATTGCTTGATCCAAACCACACAAAACCATGGTAAAGTCCACACAAGATATCTATTAGAAAGTAAAGATCATTACTAGGACCAGATTATAAGACTGAAGTCATCCTTTGTTTACATTTGCTAACTCTGAATAGCCCTTCTTGTAATATAACTTGATAACATCCCTGTCAAATTCAAGCAGTTTCTATAATCAGACATATATAAGAATGGCTCAAATTCTATTCTTTCTCACATGTGGTGGTTATTAACTTATTTTAGCTGACCAAGATCCAGGTTATGCTTTTTTTGTCTTCAACTGAGGTGAAATTCACATAATCTAATTGTTAAAGTGTCTAATCCAGTGGCATTTAGTACATTTACAGTGTTTTACGGCCATCAAGTCACTTCCCAATACTTTCTTCCTTCAACTCCTAGCTTTCTGTCTCTGGATTACCTATTCTGGATACCTATTCCATTATAAAAATGGAATATTGAAGGCCAAGAATTTGAGACCAGCCTGGGCAGTGTAGTGAGACCCTGTCTCTGCAAAAAATAATAAAAATTAGCTGAGTGCCTATAGTCCCAGTTACCTGGGTTGCTGAAGCAAGAGGATTGCTTGATCCCAGGAGTTTGAGCCTGTAGTGAGCCATGATTGTGCCACTGCGCTGCAGCCTAGGTGATAGGGTGAGACTCCCTCTCTAAAAAAAGGGAATAATATTAATACGTGACTTTTTGTGTCTGGCTTCCTTACTTAGCATGGTGTTTTGAGGTTCACTCATGTTATACTGTGTCAGTATCATTCCTTTTTGTGTCTGAATAATCCATTGTGTAGATCTATCACATTTTACTTGGACCACATTTGCTTATCAGTTTTAATGGGCACTGGGTTGTTTCCACATTTTCGTGATTGTAAGTAGTGCTGCCGTGATCATTCATATATAAGCTTTTGTTTGAATAGCTGTGTCAGTACTTTGGGGTATATACTTGCTAGGTCATATGGTAATCCTGTGTTTAACTTTTTGAGGAACCTTTGGGTTATTCTTGAATGGAGCTAAATGGCCCTGGCTAACATTATTTATAAGAGGGTTTCCATGTGTACTGCCTTGTGTTGGAATATCAGTATCAGCTTTGGTAACTAAGATTCTCAGTAAACAGAAAGTACAGTTAGGTTTGTTTTCCTCATATGGTTTTAGAACAAAGTATATTGCCTGTGTGAATATAATTAACATTTATTTGTCTCTTACTGTGTTTTTTTTTTTTTTTTTTTTTTT